GTCAGATTGTCATACTATTAGGATATAATGTTGACAGATCATTGCTTCTGTTATTAGACCGAAACATGGTCATTTATAAGGGACACCAGTAGTCCTATTTGACAGATGTCAAGCAGTTCCTAGTCAGAAAAACAAAGTCAAGTTAAATGATACAGATATATTTACACAACATAAATACTGTACAAAAAACTATTACATATTATAACACTTATTATAGCATAATATAAGAACTACAGGTGGCTGCATATTATAAAATATTAACCACTGAAACCAGAAAATAAATTTCAATATGTAATACTTTGTACTAAAACTAGAAAAAGGTCAATAAATTTCAATATGTAATACTTTGTACTAAAACTAGAAAAAGGTCAATAAATTTCGGACTACCCTCTGACCTGAGAAGATGAAAGAGATTTTTGTATTAAGATCAATCAGATATAAACAGGTTTATCTTCAATGTCAACATTCTACTACTATAACTAGTTATATTATTATTGATGGTTTTTATTATTTTACATTAAAACCCTATTCTACACTTTTACACTTGATAGGTAACGAATCAATACAACCTTATACACTTGATGTGAGTTGAAGCATAGTAGTTACATAGTTATTGTACATTCAATAACTTAACAACTTAATTAACATATGGGTCTGTGGTCCACTTTATCCACATAGTTTCATATGAGGCTGTGAATTTCATCAATCACTACCTTTTCTATGAGAAGTGTTGCCCTTACTCATGTGTGTGCCCATTTTTACAAAACAAAACACAAAAATGCAAGTTTGAAAATCATATATGACAATCTGCATCCCAAATACAACATTTCCTCTTTAGACTTCCAGTGAGTGAAACTTTTGGTACCTTGGAAAGTGTAATTAGCCTATAAGAAATTCTCAAAAATTCCCATATCAAGAAGATCTAGAACAATATAAAAACTGATTCATTGTTTATATAGAATTGAAATGTGTTTGTCATCAAATTTAGCCATCAGATCTTTAAACTTAAATAAACAACTACACAGACTGTTTTAATTTTACTTCATTAAAATTCAGGTCAAAACTTGGCCTACATCTAACTTTAAATTTTACTAACATAAACATACTTTCAAATCTAAGTTTGGCAGTTATCTGCGCGCGTTTCAGGGTTGTTGATTCGGTTGCATTTGCCAGCCATGTCTGAATGAAGCTGCAAAATGGATCTATCATACATCAGAGAGGAACAGGGGAGGTAGGCTAAAGCCAGTGGGGCCATGGACAGTAGCAGGTGGGTGGGAATATAGCTGGTGAAGTAGGTGAGTCTGGGGGGACTCTTGTCATCATAAGGGGTGGGGGAGCCTGAAATTGTGACTATAAGCAGTTGTAGGGGAGACAGAAGCAGAAGAGCAGACTGTAACTAGTGGCAGGGGAGTGGGACTATTACCACTAGTAGGGGTGTTGAGCTATACAGTTGTAGGGGGTGGGTGCGGGGCTATAACCACTAGTAGGGGGTGGGAATATAACTGAATAAGTAGGTGAGAAGAGCCATCAAGAATATTATTTACTAGTTTTTAATGGCTAGTTCATGAGGTGTTGATTATCTTTATCTCATAGCTTCATTTACATTCAAGTACCATTTAGTATACTTCATAACCTTATATACTGTAAACCACACAAACTACATACTGGTATATATTCTTTTTAGTATCAGGTGTTAAGCTATATACAGGTGCTAACTACCAAGATATTTAAGTCCTTACTTCATAATCAAGGCAGAAAATGAATGTGCAGTAAAGCAACTAGTGCTTAATTTCCATTAAAATACCATTTAGTATTCTTCATAACCTTAATACATCATACCTTTACTACATTACCACTGGATACTCCATACTACACAAACTTTTAATATCACTTGTAAAGGTATGGCAAGTACCAGACATGTAACCCTTGCAAAAAATTTGATTTGATCTCAGGATTAGAAGTTATCAACCAAAAGTATGTCATTAAGGTGCTTGGGTTTAAACTTTAACACCACACCAACTTTCAGAAGCACTGGTTGGAGCATGGGACAGAATTTTTGAGTAGGATTCGTATCCATGGAACTTTATCGCCTAAAAGATGACAATCTAACTCGCTACCCAATGAGCTCTATACCACTGCCCTAGCAGATAATAATATAACTTGCTACTGAGCTATCCAAAATAAGACAGTGTTCCAACCCAGCCTTAGAGTTTATATTATATGTATATTGACATTTATTTCCTTTGATGGAAAATCTACAAAAACCACCATTAGAAAACAAGATTTCCAATTTAAAGCCCTCATTATCTGTCAACAATAAATTGTTTTTAAGTCTCATCAATATGAATATCTACAGGTATTTCAACCTCCTAATAACCATCAATTGTTTATTTACTGGTATTTACTCAAACCTCAACTTTGTCAACAATTTGACTATTTTGATCGTAATTCTAATTCCTAAATTAGACAATATCAACAGCTTGGGCCATATAACACGTACAGGAATGTATTCTTCCTGACTCTCACCAGGTTTCTTTTCTTACATGAGATCTGGACAACATTTAGCAGAGAGCACATCTACATTATAGATATATCATTCTTTCTAAACCAGTTTCTCTTATCTTTAATATTATCATTATTAAAATTCCTTTAGTTGATATGAGAATTATGAAGGAAAATAACGTTTATATTAAATGTTTTATGTTATGTAAATCATATATTTCCCTTCAAGCTATCGGGTTTGTTTAAGGTTAGACTTATAAGGTACAGAGCTCATAATAAGTCCAGAGGAAGCACTTATAGGTTATAGCCTTCATATTTTTTACAACCTTAACCTAAAGAAGACTGTTTCAAGCATTTAAAACCTGCACCACACACAGTCTTGGTTTCTCATCCCATCCTTGACCTTAGAGCTTTTCTCATGTGGGCTTGGCACTGCAGTTGGCACCACATTATACAAACTCAAGACAGCATCGCATCATATCAAACAAAATAGGATGACAGAATAGGTTCATATTGGCAACCCAAGCCCTCTATCATTGGCAGAATGATATCTAGAGACTAGGCATATATACTAGAAGATAGATTGAGATTTAACAGGCCGAATAGACACCATATGCCTTTAATTACAATTCACAGACTCTCTCTTTAAATACTCATCCCAGAGTAGTAGTGATGGAAGGTATTTTAGGCTATTATTATGTAAGCATGTATATCATTATGTAGTATTATATCTCTATGTAGGCCCAATGACATATGATGTACATTAACTCTTCTTATCAAAGTTCAAGCAACATACTCACAAAACTACTCTATTTAATGTAATTGTCTATTCTATTCAGAAATTACCAGGGATGTTGTTCACATTTGACAGTCACGAATGGCTCGTACTAACTTGAAAATGTCTATTTATGATTACATTGTTTAGGACATTCAAAACTTAAGAAAGTCATGCCCATTATGAAGACCTTCATGAGCAAACTTTACACAAAACAAAAATTTGGCTTTAACATCAAACACATACTGATATCTATTGACATAATCCCATTTTTAACCAAATTTTTCAAAAATATCATTAAATCAAGGTGAACAAATCTGCTCTAAAAAATCAACAGTTCATCTACCTAACTATAACCAACAAATAAACAATTCAAACCAGACACTGACTGATAGAGATAAGTTTTCTCTATCTCCATTTTCATTAATGAAATTCTAGACTATTTATACTAGAGACTTAATTCAGACAAAGATATATACCAAAATACAAACTATCAGTAATAAAGCTGCCTTCTCTAAACTCCTGAACAATGAACAGGTAGATCATGAAAATATATCTTTCACTGAACACACTGTCAATATTGTAACACATGTACTGGTATTTCAAAATATGATAAAAATTATCAGTAAGCCTAATGACAAAAGATTGTATGTTAACAATTTTGTTTTACAAATACAATGATTGATTTGTCATTTTAACATCACTGTTTCGGCTTACATTTCAGTCAATTTGACACAACACTTATCCAGCCTCATTATATATATAATTAATTAATTCTTAATCTGAATTTAAAGATGGGGCTTTGATTAAATTTTTAAATGAATTACTAACAATTAATCAAATTAGCTACACAAAATAAAACAAAAATTAATGGAAATGACTTGAAATTTGCACTACCAGACATTTTGGCACTGAATTTCAGAAAACTTCAAATTCAACTAAATCAGCAGATCACTTAAACACTCTTCAGGAGAATGACTAAGCCATTTAAATACTGAATAATTCATAAAGCTATACAGTCAAAAAGTGTATTTTTTTCAAATTTGGGAAAGTCAAAAGCAGGAAACCACAAATATTGCCCAGTCAAAAATAGAACACCTAAATAAAAAGGTTTATAGTATATTGAATTGCCCAGTAGTCAGAGAATAAATAGAAAGCCATGACTAACCCCCTAGTCGGTAAAGTAGGATGCTACAGTAGTTATTTCACACTGTTCCCAGTCTATATACACTGTGCTATTATTATACTTCAATGCCTACTGACTGATTGATAGAGAGAATTTGTGTAGGACATTTTCACTGACATTATCTCCAAACATTTATCAATATTGCCCTTCATTTTCTATCAAATCACTCAAGTTTTTGCCCATATGTTCTTCACAGATTTTTAGATCCTGAGAAAATTCTGTTTTGGGTCAAAAATGATAAATTTATTAGAAAATACCCTTTCAATGTCACATAGTCTCTAATAATACCGGTATAACAGGCCCCGCCCCTTCCATGCCTCAGCCTTATTTGGAGTGCAATCAAAACCTATAATGGCGGACACCGGTATTTCTAAACATGTTTCCGCGACAATAATTTAACTCTAAACAAAACTTAAGTGAGTGTCAATAGTGAAAATGGCTTGTGGTATGTCTTGTGTATGTTTTATGGGGTGACAGATATGTAAATGAAGTAATAAAGTGACTCGACTTTCAATAACGACCGCCAAATACACTGACCTTTTTTTGCTGTTTCTCCCAGGCAGGGTCTAATAAGCCTTCTCTGTCCCATTCCTCCTCTTCTTCCATATAGCCATCGTAGTATTCGTCCGACATTTCAGTGGCTTCACTCCACTCGATCCCCTAAGCGCTGAAAATGATTGAAAGTCTAATTTTGAAGTTCTGAAAGTTAACAAGCTAGGAAAAGATCAACACCCAGCCGGAGATCTCGTCACGTGACCTAGTTTCTCACCGGAACTGAATCAGTTGTGCTTTCGTCAGGGGTTAAAGTTGAAAGGTCAGAATATCAAGGAATGCCCAGTATATACCATAACATTTGGCATTTACCTGATGTATGATTGATATTTGGTAATATTATATTCGGCATGCTTGGAACTGTGACGTAATTCATAATGAGCTCCGGGCATTAGGAATATAAGCTAATATCGGACCTAAGACATTCTGTACTCACGGCAAAATTCGGAAATCTAAATCCACAATTTATATGTATTTTTAAAAATCATTTAAATTCAGATTTAAAAATTTAAATGTAATGTCGCGCATCTTGATATCATTAAAATATAAAAAAGGAAACGTATACCAAATGGACAAATACACCACGAGTAGTAAAATAATGAATTGTAGGCCTATTTTGTTTTTAAACTATCGTTAGGGACAAGTCACAATAAAAGCTACTGTATAAATATTTAGAATTACTGAAATATTTCTCTACGTAGGTAGGTCTATTATATTCTAAATAACATGTTTAAAAATGACTATTTTTGGTATGAAATCCGCCGATCGTGAGTCAATCAATATTGCAGTATTTATGACTCATCTATGAATAAATTAATCCATTCAACATTGGAGGCGACAATTAATTTAAGTTGACATATTATTATATTGCCAAATGTAACGGTAATGGTGCATTAATGATTTTATTAATATTTCAGATTAAATATTTACTACCTGAAACACCTTAATTTCTGCTATCCGTATCGGATCATCCCTTCCCAGATTTAAAACCAGTGTTTGATTCTCATGCAATTCAACAAAATACTATTGGGAAAGTTAGAAAACAAAATAAAAGAGTGCACTTGTCATGACTGAGATTGTAAAGTCCACCTAAATTTGGATTAACAATTCCTTTACAAGATTATATTTTGATCAAACCCGCAGATTGTATCCCCGACTGCTGTGTCCTTATAAGAGCAATGAATATATTTACAAAGGTTGCTGAAAAATGAGCCTAATGCTATGGCGCTTATTCACCCTGACGTCATAACAGGTGCCCGTTACGTGGATGGCGTCATATAGTTATTAATGATAATTGTTATGAATAGTGATTTCTGTTTGTATATTGAATAACAGCAGACTTTGTTATTATCAACAAGAGGATACAGGTATAATTCATGGAACATAAATTATTTGGCATATTGGCGCTTTTCGGTGGTCATATTAAATAAAGGTCATGTAACAGTAGCATAATGCAAATTGGGGGCTTACGGAATATATAAATATTATTGCAAATTTTAATGACCTGAGATAAATAACTTAGTTTTGTTTTGTAATTTTCAGCCCCCTAGCTCAGTAGCTACCCTACAGTTACTTAGATTGCCGATACTAACAATATCATGGAAAAAAAGCGTCACGACGTTTAAGCTATAACCTCATAAAGCGCTTCGTTTTAATGGAATTGCAAGAACCACAGATCTGACTAAAGATGTGAGTGGTTCAAATCGTTGCCATCTTTGTCACAAATACACATAAAACGTTAAGAAAACCTTTTTTACAACCCCTTTAAGTGCCCCCAAGAATAATTGTCTTGGAAGAGTTACCTCCCATGCACCAATTTTTTTAATGGCTGGGTTCATTCAGAAATAAATCGGATTATCGAAGGTCTATCAATGCATAAAAGCTTCGGACCTCATCTCTTTCGAATTTGCAGTTATAATTATAGTTTATTTTCAGGTTGGTTCATAGGATTTATTATAAATTAAAGAAAAAAATAATGGTGGTCTGTATCCATTAAGAAAAGATAACTCTTGATGACGTTTTCTTAGGCCTGGTTGATCAAGACTTGTTATGTTTTGAAATGGAGAAACAGTTGGCAGAATATCGAGCTAAAAAGGAAAAAGAGAGAAGATCTCAACAGTCTTGGACCGATTACTTATTCAGAGGACGAAAGGTATCCTGTTTAATCACATTTCAAGAGGATCTTCTCCTTTCAAGAGCTTATAGACAGTTTGAACATGGCTGACATTTCTTTTTTATTTAAAGTTTAGTTTGACGTGTCGACGTCGATTCAACCTGACGTATGAGGTAGCCCTGACTCTGTCGAGTATAAAGATATAAATTTGTGATTCGAAAAGATGACCATGGTTATACTGGCAATCAATTAGATGTAGCAATCACTCATAGATGAGGATATATCTAAACAAATAAAAAAAACTTTTTGATCCATTTCTTTTCTAACTGTTAATATTGTCTATTGACACTACTACTGAGCTGAAAAAAAAAAACAACTGAAGTTGAAGTAAGCTTACATAATAGGTTCGATCAAAGTGTTTGTGTCTGTGTTGTTCTACATCTAAATTTGATTTTTATTTCTTTGCAGGAACCTTCACCAAGAGGTTCTGAATCGGCAGAAACAAGACAAAATATTACACAAACCAAAAATGTCTCCCACATACAAAATGGAGAAGTAATCTATCATGAAACAGAAGAGGAAGTCAATGACAGTTCTAATCGAAAATATTTTACCCTTCAAAACATTTTAATTGTTATATTATGGTTGTTGTGTTGGAAAATATTTATCGAACTTCAATTTGGTGCTGTGTTTTTCCTAATTTCTGGATTCTTATTTATCTATTTTAACACAAGAACTGGACCTAAAAGTTCTAGATTAAGTGCCTATTCTGTTTTTAATCCAAATTTTGAAAGATTGGAAGGAACATTGACAGCAGAACAGTTTGAAAGTGAACTATTACGACGTCCTGTTAGTAAAGATGACAGTTAAAATATCAATAAGACCAAGGAACAGAAAAACATTGGATAGATGTGATGGGAGATGCTTATTCATTCCTTCATTCATTTAAAGATACAGATAGCTTACCGGCATTGCAAAATTTTCTCAAAGATTTGTAAAAATATTTCTTCACCCAAACCTCATCAAGTGACTTACAATATTTATGTGGTGATAGGTGTCTAGTTTAGGAATCTAATTCTCATTTTCATTACATAATTAGCCCTCTTGTAAAATGTATTACAATATTTAAATGGTATCTTTGGTAGCAAATGAGATTTTTAAAATGTAGTGTAGGTTTACATTCATTACTTCCTTAGCTCCCATAGAAAATGCATCATAATATTTTAATGGCATCATCTGTGGTACATAGGGTTTTTCCGATACACATCATATATTTAATAAGAATAATTTAAGTATAACTGAAGATATGTATGATAATTTGTTAAACTCTATGATATTGTTATAAATTGTTCTGTTATCAAGTTTTTAATTTTATCGGTTTTGATTTCTGGGATTTGGAAGGATTAAGGATAATCTAGTGTCAACAAGTCATAAAACGTTTAGTTTTAGAAAATTGCGGAATTGCGAAACCCAAAGTAAAGCAATATGACAGCCTGTTGGGGATATCTGGGCTATTGATGAGGCTAATGTAGTATTGAGAAAAATAAAATAAGGAATAAAGATGGTTTTTTCTATATTTTATTATAGTAGAAAATAACAAACAAAATATTAACCCAGTACCTAGCACTCTGGAAAGGTACCTCTATTTTACACTTAAAAATATATATATATAAATAACATCTATATCATAATGGTTCCCCATATCATTTATCCCACTATGTACAAGTTGGAAATAGAGACCAAGTTGACAATTGCAGTAAAGACCTGGTTCCCAACCTGGGGTGTTTTCACCCCTGGGGGTGTAGGACTAGGGTGTCAAGGGTGTGGCCAACTGGTGTAGAGGAAGATTATATTTTGAATTGAGAGAGCACCTCAAATCATTACATGCTGAAAATGTGGATGAAGTAATTTTTTTGGGTGAAAGGTCCAAGTGATTGCTCCAGGAGTGTGAAGGCTGAGAAAGGTTGGGAACCATTGCAGTAGAGTTAGATGTCTTGAAGATATAAACATGCTCTGTATAACAATACAGAGTTCACCTAATTTGTCTTGAGGTTAGACCCTGCATTGCTGTAACTTCTGAGATGCTTCAATCATGTTGCATTGTGATATGAGCAAGGTGGCACCATAGCCTGTCTAGGATCTTCCGGAGCCTCTTAAAGAAGATTTTGATAAACAACCCATACTTCTAGGAAACTCTAATCTTTATCACAGGCAACAGCAGGGTGAACATCTATAACTGGTCCACAAAGACAATCCAGGACTCTCAGGATAGAGAGCAAGCATCAAACTCACAGAGCCACTGCACTGCAGTCCTCCTATAAACAACTAAGTAATAATAATTAGTACTGTATAGTGGAAAGCAAGATTAATTGATAAATCAGTGAAGATCAAATTGGATTGGAATCTTTATGAGATATGTACTACAATATTGATAATTCACACTGATCATTAGCTACATTCACTATATACTGCAAGGCAAAGAAATTTCACTTCTATCTATTTATAAATTGATAAAACTTAACAGACCCTGGCAGTAAGATGATCTGTGGTCAATAAACTTATTTAATGTTTACAATGTTTACAAGGCAGATCCTTAACATGAGAAAACATCAAGGAATGTAAATTCTCCCTCATAATGTAATATCCCCAAAAAAATTTGCCCAAATTTTTACATTATTTGCACAAATATATTTTTCCCAAATATACACATGATTTGACCATTATCATAAAATTACAATTTTTCAAAAATCTTTGATTAAGGAAATTCGAAAATTGTAAGATATTTTAAAGTGATTGTAAAAAAGTTTTCTAACAATTTATGTGTATCGAGGACACCATTCAATCAATTCCACTAAAACTAAGTGTTTAATGACGTCACTAAAGTGCCTTATGTCATAAGCAAATTTAGGGATAAGTGACATCATCAAACACTTCAATTTTGTGGAATTGAAAGAACCAACAGAAGTCTGATTTAAAATTGGAATGGTGCAAATGAATGCTATAAGTGTCCCCGTTTTACATAAAAAATTCAGAAAACATTTTTACAATCTATTTCATCTTCAAGCAGATAAAGATATTTCAACAATCATGAAGTCATAGCTGATTTGGCATCTTGAGCTAATTCCAATAACTTATCAAATCCATTGACTGCTGATTTGTCAATACCATGGCCTGATATCTGAAAAAAAATAAACACAAAGGTAACAGTTAAGAACCAAAATTCCTGAAAAAGTGTTCTTTGAGCTTTGAAAGAGATCAGCAGACGTCACCCTTCAATATATCAAAGAACACTTTAGGTCTTTCATATCATCACTGTAGTGATTCAAATAACTAATGCAAAGAAGAGACTTTTAAATGGGTAGATCATGCCACTCTACAACTGGGCTAGTAAATTTGACATCCCTTTTAAAGACTTTACATAGCCATTAATGATTACTTGGCATATTAATATATTTGCATGGTTATTCATAAAAATCTGCTGTCTATTAAAACTCACTGATCAGGAGTGGTGAATTGACAATAAGATTCACTCTGTACATACCTGATTACCATAACAATCTATATCTAGTATAATTTGCTGTCTAACTTTGTCGTCATCGCTCATCCCATGACTATTGCTATCTGAAGATTTGTCAGTTCCACGAGCTTTCTTTAATCTTTTTAAACTTTCCTCCATTTTCTTAACAGAGGTGAGAACGTCTGATGTCACTGTTATATATCTACAAAATACCAAGTTAATCATTTTGATTTGAATTGCGACTAATTCCCCAAAAGTGGCTTTAAGGGGCTGAAAAAAAGTTTCGAAACTTTTTATGAGTATTGGGAACACTGATCGAATCCATGTGTACCATTCTAATTTTCAATCAGACGTCTGGGGTACTGCATTTCTATTAAAACTAAATATCTTGTGGGGTAGCTATTGTAAAGTTCCGTAAATATTATTAGCAGAGTTTGTGATATGAGTCATAGAAGGCTCTCCAAAATGAACAGTTTTAAATAATCCATCTGGAATGAATATAACAAATAACATACTGTTCAGTCAAACTGGAGAATACTTGAGTTAGAAAATCTGCTTTCTGTTTAGATTCTAACTGATGTTCTTCTAGAAAGTTTTTTAATGGTTTTTCTAAACTGATGATATAGTTGGATGGTTTACTGGGTACCTACAGGAATAAATAAGAAACAGTGAATAGTGAGTAAAGAGTAGGAGGTTATAAAGCTCATCTTCATGCTGTCAAGCTATTATCAACTTCACTTATACCTTGACTGCAATAGTCACAATCCTTGTATCACAAAAGTTTGTAAATACAGTGATAGATTAGATTGTACACTAGTGAATATAGCCAATCAGAGATCTCTACAGAAATCAGTAAACAATAAGCAGTGATGTTTATAGTCTGTCTGTCTCTGTTCGATTGTATTTGCTGGCTTAATCAAACTGCTGCATTCAATGATATCAGAACAGCTGCTTCTCAATCTTGTTTTTCTTTAAAATCAAACTCCATTTATAAAAGCAAACTGGCCTGAGGAAATTTGTGTATCCACAACACATGTCAATACCATGAGACGAGCTCTAGTTAATTAGAAATGAGTCACAGAGGCCTCATGCTATCATAAATCAATGATCATTTGAGATAAGAACTGACCTGATGATTATTGCATATCCAAAGCTCTATAATGAACTATTATCTTTACCTTAAAGGTGCTCTGGTAAATTAATATCAATATAAACTAAAAGCAGTATAAACGTACCTCTCTGTTTGTTTTACGATATAGTCGTGGTATATCACTGACTTGTTTTAAATATACTGAACATTGTTTAATAATATCACTGGTTATAAATAACTGAAACTTGGGCTGTCTTTCTTCTATATTCACTATACATTCTTTTATACAATCTACAAATAACACAAGAAATTTATATTACAGCATAACAAACTTTTTAATAACCATGCACATAACAATTTACACGGTCTTCCTATCTACTGCGTTGAATGTGGCATCTCAACTTCTAAATGTTAAAACAATAGACTCTGAATAGAGTTGGACATCTCATTGTTCTATGTCTAGTTAGGTTTATGAACTATATTGGTGTATTTTCTACTGTTCTGTAACTTATTGGATTAAAAAAATTGTTGTGAGAGATCAATTGGGATCTAACCTTTTAAGACTGAAATATTTCCAACAGACTCTTTTTCTAACAATGGTGCTATTTCTGTATCAAAAAATTCTTCAACCTGAAATCGATTAAAAAAAACAATAATAGAACATTGGTCTTAATAACATAATAATCATTGTTACGCTTTGAGATGTATTTGAGATGCCATATTATCACATCATATGAAGACAAGCAATGCCAGGCAGTGTACAATGAGGAAAACTTTGCTAGGACAGCCGGACCCTAGCCTATTAGCAAGTGTCTAATGCGAAGAGCCAACACGAGTCCTTATGAAAACTAGACATTAAGTAAGTAATTATATACAGACAATAATACCTACCATTTGAACGAGTAAAACAGAGTCAGATATCAGACAAACAATTTGACCAACTGTGATTGGAGGATTTACTGATGATGTCATTGATGATGTCATCGCATCTTGTGGTGATGGTGATGCAGATCGTGATGTATCCGGGGTGATGCTCATTCTATCTAAACTACTTGCTGATTGTGATGTCTTCATTGGCTTATCTAATTCTGATCTTCTGTTGTTCTGGATTGATATAGAAATGAAATGAATGGAGTTTTGCACCTTGTGGGCTAATGAAGACGGTGGATTGTTATAGAGATAAAATACAATTTGTTAAATTCACTCTAAAGAACCTGTAGTATTTTCAATATACTAGTACTAGTACTATATTTAAGCAATAAACTGTTACCCTATGGCAGTTATGGACATATTTCAGGACAAATTGAATAAATGCGCGTTGCTTATATTTACGTTTTCAAGACATTCTAATTCTAATTCAAATACTTTATTATGAATTTAAGTAGGGCCTATTTCTTTATGTTTCAACGTTTGGAACTACCATCATGATCTAGGTATCAGAAATCTTTGAGAAAGCTTTGAACACACCCAATCAACTTGCTAACGAAAACACATTAATACATTTTCCTACCATAAATAAATTCATTAAAATCTAGTATAGGATCTATCAGATATTAAAAAAAATATTGTTATACCTCTTCTTCATAGACTTCATCTAACCATGCTGTATATCTTGATAATAACTGTATAGTCAGTTTCCAGAATCTGTGAGACAGGGCTGGTAGATAGATCTCTTTCTTCCAACATTTATGTAAACATTGCCACAATACAGAAGTAGACATTAGTTGAAATGTAGACTCTGAAAAAATCAAAGGAAATATTCATGGTCTATATGGATCTTAAGCTTAACAATCTCCAGCCCTTCTTGTGAGCCGTCTTAATCCTTCCAAGATTGACAAAAAGTGCTACTAAAGATTTTAAACCAAATGAAATGAAATGAATTGAGTTTTAGCTTTTTCTGCACCATGTGGGCTAATGAAGAGGGGCAACGCCATGCAGGGTGCGATGAGGAAAACTTTGCAAGGACAGCGGCATTAGCTTGCTCTTTTTCGATTTCCAACTGTCGAGGGATCTTTAACATGCACAACCTGTAACACACAGAGCCTCAGTTTATTGAGATTTTGAACTAAGATGAACCTATATTTGTTAAAGTGTTGAAAACTGACTGGTAAACAGCACAATATAAAATAATGAATAGCCTACCTTGTGAGTTATTGAAACCTGTAACTAGGGCTGTTTCAAAGGATCCAGCTATATCTTGAAATCTGAATAAAACAACAAGTATATACTGTATAATAGTAGATAATTAAATCACGATTCAGTTTACACGGTATCACACAATTTGATTGGATAACAGCAGTCACGTGAATACAGTTTATATCTGTGTAAACAGAATGTAAATATAAGCTCCCCCCCTTAACGGACTACTTTTTCATTGAGTTTGATTGACATGGTCACTACACGGCGTCAAAATCGTTCCTTTGAATGACAACGGAGCCGAAATCGACATGTCACCAAACGATTACGGTATTTTCCAAATTCCCTCGAATGTTCACTCTTCAAATGTCAGTGGCAACTTTTTAAAGGTTCATAAAGTGATTACCTTATTTGGAAATAAACTGGTAGACTCCATTTTGTAAGGAATGTGTGGTAACTTGAATGTTCTCGTAAATGTTTTATACTACCTTGGTTACCACACAACTTTTCAAATTTACACAGAAACTCCATACACAGTAGATATTTCTAAATTGACAAGAAAAAAAATGAAATGAGAAGTCAAAATATAAATGATGACTACTTATCGTTATCCATTTTACATTTCTCTTTGACTCTCATAAGCCATTATTAAGATGGAACCAGAAAAATTGATAGGGATATTCATAAGAAGCTCATAGTCAAAGTTGGATCACTATCTTGCTGAAAGGAATAGACAGGATCATAAAAACATTTCTTTTTATCAAAAACAGCTAAATTTTTGAAGATTTTGCAAGTTCTAGCTGGAAGACTTAAAGCATTTCTTATTTTACCACAGAATGTCAGAATGTTCATTCATTTTTTGGGAAGATTCTTACCTCATGAAAGGTATCAGGGTTACCAGGTGCGAAGATTGTTGGTGTTCTCGCCTCTAAATTACCAACAATCTCTGGCCAAACAGAGTTCACTAAAAAATCATAACCACGTACAATTTCACCAGTACTGAAACCAAAATAAAACTGCTGGATATTTTTGTTGTAGATTTGCTCAGGTTCAGTGATTTTGCTCATTAATTTTATGCCTTTCCATTGACATTTCCACACAAAATATTTTTCCCCAGTTTCAAAATATTTTCGTAAACCTGAAGTGTACTTTTCAAGTTTCTTTATTTGATTTGCAAAAGGCACTGTTGGCTTAGCATCTTAAGCTTGTGCTAACCAGCAGGTTAAAAAGTTAATTACAACTTGAAAGACTGCTTTTTTTAATGAATGCAAATGAATTTAAAAACATCAAGAAAGAATAAGCAAGTCAGCGACACTAACATTGCTAAAAAAAACAAAAACTCATGCAACCTTACCCAGAAACACCACTAGTGACATCTTTCAATATTTTACAATGTTTTGGTATAAATTCTAATATTTTCTTAATCATTCCTTCTAAACCATTGACTTTTATATAGTCTTCTGTTACAACCTAGAATTATATATTTATAGATTGATATCACATAGATGAGCTATTATAGTTTAGATATGAGGGTATCAACCTAAGCCTACTTTTCTTTTATTTCTATCTGTAGGTGAATCTTTACTCTTCAAGAAAAAAAACTAGTGCCAATTGGCTGCAAACGACAGTACAGATAAGATGGAAAACAAAAACAATATGTGTCATGACAGTGCAGATAGCCAGTGCATTTTATAGATGGAAGAAAGAAAAAACTTATAAACTCTTACCTCTTCCATATAAGGTTTGACGATATGTTGTCTAAATAGATTCTCTGCATCCCTAGTTTTATCAATCAAAGCATAGGTTCGTAAACACTGCCTTAGTATTTCTACATTATTCGTAGCTAAACCATCTAAAAACCCTCCTTCTAAACTAAACTGTAGGGTCGTAGTGATGTTTGCTATTCTCTGAAAAAAGGAAGGACAGAAGGATATAAAATTTTCAGGCCTAGAATTTATTTTCTATAAAGATATAAAGGTATAGATAAATATATCAGCTATACAAATCTATAGCTTTGTTGTGCAGTTGAGTAGAAAATGTCATAAGCTGGCAATGGTGTAAAAATTCTTTTGAAAATGGCCCAAAAGTACCCTATTCAGAGAATAGTACAAATCCTTTGATTAGACTTTTATTTTGAGAACTTACTGGTTTAATCTTCTCTACCAAAGGTAGTCCTCGACTTTTAGTCACATAAAATTGTAACTTGTTGAATTCTGTGGCAACTCGTTCTATCAACTGTCCACTGAGTTGACTGGAATAAAGAAAGCTAGCAATGAAAGTTTAGTCTTGCTTGTACATAGCAGACCATGCCAGAATTTTTGCGATTCACCAAAAAAACTCAATACAATACGGCTGTAAATCAGACATAAATCAAAAATTTAAATATCACAAACAGAATTTTAAGCTCAAATTTTCTGCACCTTATTTGACTAATAAAATTAGGAAACACCTTAAAGTGTGCAACGAGGAAATTTTGCCAGAACAGCAGCAGACCAATTTTTTTCAATTTCCAACTTTGAGAAAACACAGCCTGTAACACACAGCCCTGGCATACTGTCTCTTCTTCACAGTATCATTTTGAAATTGAAACAAATGACTGTTTTAACTGGGATAGAAATGATGTTTCCCCACCCCTAATGCTTACCCAGTAGTAGGAGTAACACCCCCCTCACTGTGATCAGACAGTCCACTGTGTATACCCAGTAATTTCTCAATTTTCTCTACTGACTCGGTTATATTCATCAACCTCTGTAGACAAGCCTGAAATAAAAATAGACCTTTATTTAGGGCTGTTGATTTTGATTTATTTTCCAGTCAAGTTTGGTAGGGCAGCTCAAATGTCACAATCACAAGCCTCTGTCTGACAACAAGTGTTATTCAATGTCAAATTCAAAATCTTCTTATAAAGAAACAGTTATAAGCATTTAGCAATATGGAAGCTTACAAGAGAAAGAATCATTCACATTGAATAGGTTATGAATTTAGGTTCTAGAAGATCAATTCTACCAGCTGATCCTTGACCAAACCTCATGGCTTTGATCTTTCCATGATACATACTGCTATGTTGACTAAGTGCTTTACATTATTTACCTTTTTATGTTGAATATCTTTCTGTTGTTTTAATTTCTGTTCAACTATTTCTATAGCTTCATCCATAGCAGATCTAACACTCTACAAAAAATATAAAATATATCTAAAACACATGTTATCATAGCTTTTAAGAAATTCAAAATTGTGTCAATTTAAAATATCATCAAAAATACTTTTGCTTATAAACTAGGAGGTGTAATGGGTTAAAAGCAGACACCGGGCTCAATGGATAAAGACACTTCTTTATCATTATTTCTTACGTGTGCCATTTGCCTCTTATGCTAAGGCCTTGTTAGTGGACACAACAATGCAGTTTGTTTAATTGTTGGTTTGTTTTTTTTCATACCTACCATAACCTCTTCTTTCAGTTGACCCAGTGGAACTGTTAAATGACCTATAGCTTTGTCCATTCCAACCTAAAATACGAATTTTACTGACCAATAAGACCATAGACTTTAAACTCAAAGATTGAGGTAGGCCGACGGGTCTTGAAGAAACAATTGCAAAGATTCAATCTATTTGAAGAAAAAAACCACCATTTTTTTTAAACAAGGAAAACACGAGGATCCTTTCTACAATGTGGTCCTTGGAGAAACCTCTTAATATTGATGTTTCTTGGATACTCCATGCCCATCTGTTTCCACTCGAATCGTAAAGATGAATTATTCAAGTCATCAGACATTCACATGGCTACTGAGATTAAAACCCACCGGACTTAAGCATGCAAATGATGTCATGTAAAGATTCCAAATCTCTACCCAACTGTGCTACAGCCAGTCTGCTAATCACAGATTTAGCCAAGAACGTAAAACCCTGTAGAAAGATAAAAATTAATATTTCTACAAACCAAATTAGTTGAAAGATTGACAAAGTCAGCATAATCTTTATTGATGAGTTCAATCATAGCACTTTTTAAAATCTTGAGATAAATATTGAGATCATCTCGCAGTGTTTCTAACTGGACCCTTCTTCTACATTCTAATACAAACTGATCTACGTCAAAACCAGGCTGGAAAACACAAACACAGAAACATTTAATAGAATATTCTCTCACAATCTGATTGTTTCATGTCTGTCTGTCGCAGAAAAGTATGGCATAATGCTGCATTGTGTTTGTTTACATTAAAATAGGTTGACATACACTTCACCAAATGAAATCGAAGGTAGACAAGCATACCGGTAACAATTTATTTGTATTCCCATAAGAATTCGTTCCAATCACTATCAACTATCAAGATAGGTTCAGATTTAGGGTAACTTCCAAGAGCTGACATGCAAGACTAAACTAGGGAGATCAGATCGTGTTTGGTAAGGAAAAAGGCAAAAACAATGAATATATGATAATATTCAAAGGGCAGGTTTGAATGATTTTCTCAGTCAATTCTACCTACCCTTCATACCTTCATTGAAAATCAATGGCCTAATTCATACCAATGCTGTAATGCCTGTATTAGCCTACTTACCTTCATAAATTCCTCTTTATCGAAGCATAACGAGGCTGGGCCCGAGGGCAAGCTGAACCCCTTTCCAGCATCTACTGTCATTCTGAACGATATTGCCCTTCAAATTATGAAATTAAATCCATTTTAATTTTACTAGGCTATTCAACAACTTTCATTTTATTTTGATGATGTGTCTTCTAAATAGAGAGAGCAATTAAAGGAGAATAACTGCTAAAAACATTCACAGACTAAGACCACAACTGATTTCTCTAGGACTTCAATTCCCTAAAACTAAAAGGAACGATTTTATGGTATGTGGAATTTCAAAAAAGACTCTTCTTATAGATCTTCTAGGGAAGTTTTGTCAAATTTGGATCGCTGACAGAGCAAGAAATCACTTTAAAAATTTGTTGATAGAGACATTCTTCATTAATAATAATTTTGGTCACGTGATATGAGTCACATGACACTCAGGTTACAAGATGGAGGAATTCTTGAAGTTGACGGAAATTAAAAGACGTTTTTGTCATTTTGTGTCCGCGATGGAGAGGAAAAAGCGCGATCATATAGCTAAACAAGTGTGAAAAATGTTAAAGAAAAGATTAAGAAAGGTGTCAAATTCAGCGATGGATTTGGTGAATTTGTCCAAGTATACTTCTGTTCAAAAAATATTATTTGGGGGTGGGGCAATGTTGATATTGGGGTTTATATCAGGGTATTGGATAGCTTTAGTTTTATTTAGTGTATCGGTGGTGCTCGGAAATTATTTAATTGCGTATATATTGAAGAGAAACATTCCAATGAAGTCAGATTATTTGTTGTCAATTGCACATTCCATTTCAAATATTGTGGATCTTCTAAACTCCAATTCAACGTTGTTGACGTTTCCTCGCATCAATAATACTCAAAATCGCAGCATTAGCAAAGTTGACGAAGAACTGAAAAAATTAATTGATCTCATAAATCGTGATTTTATCAAGTCCTGGTTCGAAGTTTTCAGCAACGAAGAGACGTTTTTAAACGAGAGCCAGGGTCTATTTATTGAAGCTAGTCACAATCTGAAGCTGAGAATTTCTCGACTAAGTTTGCTCAAATGTGCCAAGTTATTTATAGATTTATATCGGAAACATCTTGCCTCATATCAGGTGTCGAAACTAACGTACATGAGCCTGAAGGAACCAAAGAAACGTAGAGGGAGCCAAAGCACCTCGGAAACTATTCTACGCACTTCTTCTATTGAAGAAGCTTTTAATCTGAAATTCGGGTTTCATTTTGCTTTAAAAAATTCAGAATCTGAAAGTGAATTTATTCAAAATGTGATAAAAACTATTATATGTAATCTTTTACCAGAAAATTTTATTTTTTGTCAAGGTGCTCAAATACTCGTCAATGAAATTCTTTTTACTAAAGTTATTTTAGTTTTAATTAGTAAACTAAGCACTCCTGATTTTTTATATTTGTGTCTTATAAAACTCACTTCGGAACATACTGAATTAACCAATAAAAACAACTCTAAAAATGAGCAAAAGGGAGAGAACTCTAATGTCGACCACAAGGGAGATAACTTGAGAGAAGCAGAAATGGATCAGGATGTGTTTCAAGACATACATGACGAGGAGACTGAGAACACCAACATCAACCAATCAGATACCTCGAAACTCAACTCTGCTGATGTGAAAACGGGTTGTGGGACGTCAGATGATTTTCAAATCCCTTTAACTATGATTAAAAGTGGGACACCGTTGATCAGGGTACAAGATGTCGACAGTGAAGAAGGAGGAGGTAACTCTCTTGATACGAAGAGCCTTTCCAATGAAATTTCAGAATGCAATGATCATGAACTTAAAAATATTGACAAAGATTTCAATTCCAGCACGGAGATTTATCATGACGTCAATGACAGTGACGAAATGTCCTCAGAACATGACGATAATGACGTCAACAAACGCCTGGAAAATCTCATCCGAAAAAGTCAAGAAATTGAAGACAAAGGCACTTTTTATCTGGATGAAGATTCAAAGTCTGATAATTCTAGTCTAGAGGGGTTAATTATTGAGAGCCCTGGGGTGGAATTTAACCCCCTGATTGAAATGTCTGATGGTATTGAAGTTATTGACAGTAGTCTAATATTTCAAGGTGTTTCTATAGCTGATACAGAAACTGTGGCTGAATATCGCAGCCAGAATCATTACACACTTTATATTGTTCAGGTAAGAGACTTTCAGAACTTGATGACTTTTTAAAATACTTTTATTTTGACAGTTCTCAAAAATATCCGTGCTTATATATAAAAATATAATTCTATGAAATAAAATCCTTATGACCTTTAACAACCTCAACTGATCATAAGAGAAGATTTTTGTGTTTCCAAAACTCTTCTTTGCTGCATGTCAAATCTCTGAGCAATAATAATCTTTAGTGAAAGAAACTGTAGTTTGCACTCCTTTTTACCCTGGAATTAATCTGGAGTAATGTTATCCTGAATTAGGGCCGTATGCAGAGCTCTTTCCTCTTACCTTGACTAAAGTTGAACTTTGACTAAAGTCGAACTTTACAAAGATAGGTTTAAGGCTTTCATTTTCTATATTTGATAGTCAAATTTAAGCACGACTTTCGTAAAGATCGACCAGTGCATACCTAAAGTTTGACTTATGTCTAACTTTAGTCAAAGTTTAGGTAAAATACGAGCGCTGCATATGGCCCTTAGTACTAGTAGTACAACTTATTCTACATTCTATTTCATCTATATTTTTAGTTTGAGGCGATGTATTTCTCTGACTCAGGGCCAGTAGTTAAAACAGGGAAAGTTAAAAGACGTTTTCGTGAATTTGTTAATTTAAATTCTAGACTTGAAAGCAGTACATATTATAAAAATCTTCTCAAAGGTAAGATGTAACTCGCAATCATCAATTTATTCAACTCCCGTTGGTCAACTTGCAAATCTTTTTAAAATTTTCATCTTATTCACCTTATTTATTTTTGATTCAGAATGGTCATTTTATTATTGAAATTGTTAAGGCCTATTTTCAAGCCTCAATTTTTCTTTGGGTCAACTGGAATTAGCCTGAAAGATAACTTTCACATGCCGACCAAGATAAGAACCCATGCCCACCACCATTTGTTAGAAGTAACTAGCAAAGATTTCAACGCTCTTACTGATTGTGCTACATCCCTTTCCTCTTGTAGATTAATCTTATCTATATTGCTTTCTGGGCAAATTATGATTTAATCTGGTATTTTGATAAATTTCAAAATTATTTTTAGATGTGAAAGGACCAAAAAGATGGCAGAATCTACCATTTAAAAATATGGACAAGGAAAATGTAGAATATAGAAGAATTTTCCTGGAACAATTTCTTAAGGTATAAATTTTAACATATTTTCAGTCCAGTACCCTACAGATTTTCAGACATCAATGGCACCTGTCTCAGCATTAGAGGCATTGCTTTTGGAAATTGTGGGAATTGAATTGGTGTATCGAAAAGAGAAGAGTCTATAATGATTATACACATACAAAGACTAGAAAACCTTTTGGAATCTGTTTAATTTTCAACACTTCTTTTGGCCCTGGCCCAGTTTGATCAGCCCTGTGTATGGTATGTATGTTTAAGTGAGCACTATACAGAGTATATATAGAATATTTATTATTTCTTATATTTGAATTTTAGAGTTTAATAGAAATAGAAGCTATTTGTAACGGACCAGAGTTACGAGAGTTTCTAGCCTACGAAGGAGATTCTCATATTGCTTTTGTTAAAAAACCAGCTGAAATCACAGTCCCAAGAATTGATAAGGTAAGTTGATTATTTGATGAAAATAGAGAAGTTTCTTTGAAGAGCCAGTCTAATTCTGAAGTTATTCTGTTTCAACAGAACAAAATTCAACATGTCAGCCTTTCCTACCTGCATTAAAATATCTTGAAGGTTTATCTTGACCTATGCTGGAATTGAACACTAGACTTTAGCAAGCATCTTTTTGATTAGCACCTCCTTAAGAAATTAGTGATTAACATTTTTATCTCTGGGTTATATCTCTGGGTTATATCTCTGATTTATATCCTTGATTTATATCCTTGATTTAAATTCTTGAATTATATCCTTGAATTATATCCTTGATATATAGCCTTGATATATAGCCTTGATTTATAGCCTTGATTTATATCCTTAAATCCTTGATTTATATCCTTGATTTATATCTTTGATTTATATCTCTCATTTCAGATGTTAGCACGAACAGTGTCTGGTATGTTTGACAAGATAAAATCACTTCCAGGTCTGTCTCAAGATATGATTTCTGGAATTGTTCGTAGAGAAAATTCGGTTGATAAAAAACTGAATGAAAATACACAAGAACTTGATAAAATAGATGTAGATGTTGATACTCAGGTAAGAGGGTATCTTTTCAGGGGCAGACTGAGGGGTGAGGGGCAGAGGGGTGAGGGGCCCTATAACTCTATATAATTACAGATAAAAATTTGGAAGGGATTTTTTTTTCAAGAAATATTTTCTTTTGCCTCTTTGAATTTATTGAAAACTATACTAGCCTAATTTAATGAAAATTGAGTAAAGGTAGGGAAAGTAACAAGCATGGAGAGTCTAGTTGGGCAATGGGATGGGGCCAGAGGAAACTCAAGCTGCTCAATTCACCCCTTTAACTCTCCCTCTTCATATCGCTTATAGTTTTACAATATTTTGATTCTAGGATTCCCCTTACCCAAACCAGCTAGACAAGTTTATATATCAAAGAGGTTGTGGTACCACGGTAACCAGACATCAGACGCCAGAAGGGGAGAAGAAAACAGCAGAATTACGTCTTGACATGTTATCTAAGTTGCCACGGTTACCATGTGATGGTTCGGAGTCACCAGATTCTCCTCTAGAGAAAGGTGGGTAAAATTCTTAAAAGGTTTGATACACTCACTTCTTTGAAAGCAGATCTATATTATATCTACCCAATTCTTTTGTCTGCACTTTTTTTATGTAAACAATAAGATTTATTATTGTTAGATTCCAGAGCTGTTTTTTGATTGGCTTATTGATATGACTGAAAAATACATGTTTACAAGGATAACAACTTAGGTCTCCGAGGATCATTCTTAAGAGGTGGAATTTGGCCAAACCTCTTGACCTTGATCTTTCCTTGATTATCTGTACACATTTATATCTGGTCCATTTTGCGTTGATCTTTCCCTGATTATTCATACCTATTTACAGCTAACTTTACTGTTGTACTAGTATCTGACCTTCACAATTATTGGTTATAAATTTCATATTTTTTTTTAGAATTATCAATTGAAACTAAAAGTGAGCGCAATTCACCATTGTGTGAGAGTGTCCTCAATCTGATGGTACAGCTGGGAGAAGGTCACGATTTATGGATCTGTCGACAGCGAGTGTTAACTGTCATTAAAATATCACTTGGCCGTGCTATTGACAGGTGAATAATACTAGTTATTATGTGGAAGGGCAATGATCCTTCTTCATATTTATGCAGATGACTTTCCTGGAGTTCTTTCAAATATATTTCATAAACTGGCAGACATGTTCACAACATGACAGAAAAAAATTCTGCTGCCACAACCAGAGTTCTGCTCACACCTCAGTTTTGCAAGCTAACTGATGAATGCTTAAAAATATTTACAAACTTATATCAAAAGAAATTTCATGAGATTTTGTATATTTATTGTAGGTTTCTACAAGACCAGCTAGGTCGAGTAACCACAGAAGATCAATGGGAATATTACTTGTCTTTGATACGAGAAATAATATGGCCGAATGGAAAACTAGCAGATGAGTTTCCACCAATTAAAACAGAACTTGAAAAAGAGGTTACAAAACAAAAAGCTAAGGATTGTCTGCTGGAATTTTTCCCAGGTAAAGATTGATTGCATATTAATTTGTCAAAACAGTATTGATGATCGTGTGCAGTTTGAATTTTCAAGTTCTGAGATTTTAGATTAGCTAATTTTATTGGGTTTCATTTGCTTTTAATCTTTTATGTTAAATGTCTTACAAAAATGTCAAAATGGGACCTGGTTTTGATGATATTTAGCTAAAATTACACCATGGAACAAGAAAGGGAAAAATGGAGAACAATAATAATTGATTATTTAGGAAGTTTGGTCTGTATAATTCTTTTGAGTGGCTTCCCCCACTAGTCTGAGGGAATTCTATCCAATCTTTAGGCATGTGATCTATACAAACATCTATTTGTTTATTTTTTTAGGATGGTTTAAACAGATAGTAGGACTGGATGAGATGGAGCATGGAGTAGACCAGATCATACAGTCTTTACAGCATGAAAAACTCAATAAACAGTTCCTATTTCTCCTCATAGAAACGTTAATGGAAGAGATTTTCCCAGAAATCGACAGTGCTCAACTACAATCCAGTATTTTATCATCCTGATTTTCAATTAAAAAAAAACATTATTTCTTGCTACTTGTGTTTATTTTTCTGTTCAAAATGTCTATAGCATTATTGTTATTCATTGGAACTTGAATTCTAATTAATATTAGACCAAACACAACCAAACTTTTTTTTATTAGCTTTTTTTTAAATAGTGCCACTGTTAGGGTCTAACCACAGCCCTCTTGAATGTTCATCAAATTAACCTTTTGACCTAACTCGACGTCTGCTTTGACCAATCAAATTGCTACCTTCTCCAGCACTGGCATTTTGTGACTCAGTGTTTATAAGGTGAGGTCAAAAGGTCAATTTGATGAAGCTTCAAGGGGACTGTTGTTAGACCTAAGCTGAAGTGGTTATTATATTAAAATAAAAAGCTAACAAAAAAACGGAATAACTAATTCATTTAAACAAAATACATTTTTGATTTCGTTTAATGAATAACTTAATTTGATTAATTGATCATGAACAATAAAACAAATAGTAATTAGTGAGACAATATTTCAAGCTTATAACCATAGTCGTTTTAAAAAAAAAAGCCATCGGCTGAAAAAATTCGAATAACGTTGCTCAGAAAGGTTAAAATTTGTAAAAAAAAATTCCCTAAAATCTAAAAGCTTCACTAAAGATTTCATTAAAAATAAAATAGCTCATTTAATAAACCAAAACACAGAAAGTTTAAAAGTGGTTTAATGTACGGTGGTTTGTTAGGACATGTTAAATTTTTTTTTTTTGATTCTATTTATTATTTCATTTTTATCTGCTGAATTATGATTTATTTCTACTATTTTTCATGAATTGACATTTTTTTTTATTCTGTAAACAAAAATGATAATTCAGAATACAAAAATGAAAAATAAGTAGAATTGAATCATAATTAAAAAAAATTAATCATGTCCTAAACAAACCACCGTATTAATGTGACCACAAAATTATTTCATTATTATTTAAAATATAAAAGGTTCACGTAAAGATGAGGTATCTAAAACTCATTGAAAAAAATAATAAAAAAACCCAACAACAAAATACACAGATAGTTTTAAAGTGGTAAACATTGCCACAATATTATTTCATGATTGTTTGTTAATATTCTAAATATAGAATTAACGTAAAGATGAGGTAAGAGCTCACAAACAGATAGTAAAAAGGATAAAGGTAACAAAATCCTTGTTTCCTTAATTGTTTTCTATAAAAAAAATCTTCGACGAATTTCTGAAACAGGCTGCCTTTGATCTTTGTGTTGAGATAGAAATAAGTTATTCTCTTAATTGACGACGGAGAATTTTGCCACTGGGTGATTTTGGAATAACATCAATAAATTCGACACCACCCCGTAATCTTTTGTGTTGAGCAACTTTCTCTGAAAAATATAGTGAGGATTAATCAGAAAATTCGGTTGCATGTCCAAAATGTGTTCAGAAATTAATTGAATACAACTTGCGATAATCTAAATCTACCAACAATAATGAAATTGATAGAGAATTGTATTGAAAACTACTTAGTAACAAAACTGAGCGGTCTTCAATATAAAAAATCATATATTTTCCCCCTGCCGAAAAACTGTACGTTTGTATATCTTTGACGTCTCTAGTCTTTTCTATGGCTTTTTAATAGCAAAACTTACCTTCTACAAATTTCAAGATGCCATCTTCCTGAACGTTTGTATTGGGTTTCCTGACAATGAAAGCTTTGGGAAGTTCCCCAGTACCAGCATCCTGAACACCGATAACAGCCGCATCTTGGACACTAGGATGAGTCAGCAGAATAGCTTCGAGTTCAGCTGGTGGTACTTGAAATCCTTTATATTTGATCAACTCTTTGAGTCTGTCCTCTATTACCAGGTTCCCCTCCTCACAGAAGAAACCAATATCACCTACAACAAAGATTAAATTAAATGAATGGAGCATTAAGTTCTTGCATTTCTTTACAGCCATTTGATATATCACAATGACAGGCTGCAAATATCTTTGACCTAAGAATAAACAGGCGACTACCAACAGCTGCCTTTGTGTAACGCACTGTGCTAGCTAAACGGACACAACTCTCGCTCTTACAAACACAGGTGCTTAGGTCGAAAAATGCCCCTTACGACTTGAGCCCTCTTTGACATTACATCCTTACTGTAAGGATCAAGGGGGTCAAGTCGTAAGGGACATTTTTCTACCCCAGCGTATCCGCTTCCATATTTGTAAGACATGATGTACGAATCCGTATATCACTTGGAGGAATTAGGTGGGTTAGAGAAGCCGACAGGGTGTCTGTACTGTCTCCTAGTCCTAGAATGCTAAAATAGACTGATAACTTACCGGTATGTAGCCAACCATCGCTATCTATCATATCATCTGTAGCCTGTTGATTATTCAGATAACCTTTCATCACTTGAGGACCCTTGATACATATCTCACCTTCTTCACCTGGCCCCAAACTTCTTCCTGTCTCCACATCTTTAACCTAGAACATGACAGGAACGCAATGATTTTAACAGTATATCCGTTACAGATAGAAACCTTTCCCCCAGCACTCTTGTCGTTTGTAAATCTGGCACCGTTAATTCCGTGTCATCAGAGCAATCAGAAACTTTCTTTCTTAAAATTAGAAATAATAAAATATGTTATATCTACCTTAGCTGTAGAGTTACAGACGACAGGACCATTAGATCCTAATTTAGCAGGTGGATTATCTATAGCTATCACAGGAGATGTTTCTGTTAAACCATAACCTATTGGGGTGTAAACAAATTGGAATATTTGAAGAAAAAAAAACAACGCTTTCTGTGTTTTGCTGGGTTCATGAATGCAGATGCTCATCTGTACAGCAACATCATGTAGTTTGCATGGTGGCGTTTCTATGAATTATGTAGAGGGGCCTAGTTAGGGCCAGAGATTTACAGTCAAAAACTGAGGAGGGCAAAGCCATCGGGTCAGTTTTACAAGGACAGCGTCAAAAGACACCATTATTCGGGTGTAAACAATATGAGATTAGGGTGTTCATTCTTACAACAGGTGTTGAACTTTATCACTAGTCTCAGTGCAGTTCGCGGTTATCCTGTTGATTTCTTACCTTGGTAGATCGGAAGTTCATGTCTATCTGTGAATTCTTTTGACAGACCAACACCTAGAGGAGCAGCACCACTAACAATATATTTCAAATTCTGTACACATTCTTTAGATACTGAGGGGTGTTTGGCCATAAACAATAGAATTGGTGGAACAGCGTGAAGAATAGATATCTACAATAGAGGTTGATTTAAATTCATTTTCCTACGCCCTGGAGTTATAATAAGTGAAATTGAGGTATTCAATGGACAATGCCACTTTACTTCCCTAGTTGATACATCTCTATCATTCGGCAATTCTCGGCAGTTTCCGTAAAGCTGAATCTGTGTATAGTTCATGTACTCATGGTATTGGGGTTTCATGATTTCCAAGGCAAGAAGTTTGGTCATTTGACGTACCTTTTGTTCTTGTAAAGCTCTAAGGAATACAGGTGGATCAAATTTAGGCAGTGTTATAAGAGGACAACCATTATCTATAGCACCAAACTGTACTGGTATCATTCCATAAATATGATAAAATGGTAAAATTCCTAAAAATCTGTCCACTCCTTGTTTTATGTCTACTGATAATCTGAAATACAGGAAATTGGTACGTTTTCTAAATGGCATTGTAAAAAAGTTTTCTTAAAAATTTATGTGTATCAGGGACACTGATAGCAACGATTTGCACCTTTCCAATTTTCAATCAGACATAGTGTGGATCTTGCAATTCCACCTACGCTAAGCACTTTATGAAAGCGTTTGAATTTGTATAAAATGACGCCATTTGCTTGGTCGTGGATTCTAATCAAAGTCGGTGTGTGAATACCCAGGTGACATTATTCAAATCGACAGATAATTCGGGAAAGATCAAGGCCAAGTTGTTATCCCCCGTAAAAAAACGGTTGTTTCTTTTTTTTTCTTACTTGACTTGATACAGGTTAGCTATACAATTATGATGTGTTAACATCACTCCTTTCGGTAGCCCTGTGGTACCACTGGAATAGGGTAAAATCAGAATATCGTTTTTAGGATCTATAGAAACATCAGGAAACATGGTACCGTCATCTTTTAGAAGTTCTGACACTGGACGACAACCTTCTGCTTCTCCGAGTATAAAGATTTCCTGAAAATCGAAAAGTCAATTAGTAAAATGCAGACCCGCAGATACAGGAGGGCATGAGGGGCAAAGGTTCACGGGGATCCTTCTTACCAGTTGGTCATTTGTCAAACCTTTTGGCATCGATCTTTTCCAGATTACGGATTACCTGTTCCCATTCACAGCTCTGTCGATGGGAATTTCACTCAACCATTGTTGAATTGTAGAAGGTCTATTTCTGAAAATAATGTCCGAATGTTTTCAATATGGAAAACGTACCTTGACACTTGATGCTAAGGATTGTTTGCTGTTGATGGCTTCTTTTAAATTTGGTAACAGAGGAAGGATGGTAAAGGCTGCCTTGGCTTTGGAATGTTCTAATTGTATTGCTAGTTCTCCTGTGGATAATAAGGCAGTTACATTAAAATACAATTATCAAAATATGTGTTAGAAGACTCTTTGAAATTGACGTCTGTCGCACAGTTGCAAGTTGGCGTCGGATAGCCTAATCTGGAACGGAATGTATCGCTGTCTGGCTTTTGCCTACCACAGTAATTGATGTGAAGCTCAAAACGCTTTCGGCAGCATCTCTTAGGTTGTATACTAAGGTTGTCTAACCTCAGGGTCCATTTATAGCGGGGATGACTGGAATAAGTCTCACAAAGAAAAGGGAATTTTTGACACTCATATTCTGGACCAGAAAGCCACGTCATGATAGCTGAACTATTATTTTTTACTTCAATCTAATATGGCTGACACTGGCAGCCATCTTGAAATGAACGAAATCATTACCTGGAGTGTATGAAGGATTGGCCGGGGTGACAATAACTCCTATAGAAGATGCTGCTAGCATTATAATAGAATATTCTGGTACATTGGCACTGTAGACTGCTATAACATCACCCTTCTTGTACCCCAGCCTAGTTAGAGCACTGGCTACCTTTATAGCTGCCCCTTTCATTACAGTATAACTATAGTTTCTTCCCGATTCAAAATCTATCTGTTAATTAGAATAACAATATTATACGACTGTGTTTGGCACAATGGTCATTTTCTCCGGTCAAATTATTTTGTCCAAGAGTTCTTAGATGAAAGCACGGGCCGAGGAGAGTGCTTAGGTTGAACCGTCGAATAAATGTACATATTATATTTGCTTTACCAGCCTAAATCGCATAAATGTCACGCTAAGCGATACAAGGTCTTCTACTTACCACAGCTGTATTGTCTTTGAATTCATCACATCTAGAGAAGATGTACTCCGAGAAGGAGACATTGGGTATGTCAGCATTAGCAATGGGACTTCGAACAATGTTCTCTTTAGACCAAACACTCTGTTGTCGAACTTGGTTGTTGATATGTGGAAATCGACATCTTGGATGGTGAGTGATCTGGTTTGAGGATGTTTTACACCAGGTCAACAATCGTTCAGCTGATGATCTCTTCATTTTCTATCGTTCTGGAAAACATTTAACACTCACGTTGAAAAACGGTTGAGTTTTACATCCTAATATACCTTAATGATATATACATGTGATGAAATGATATGAGGCTGAACGTCTTCTCTTGGTACTTACTCCTCCAATTAATTCTACCTCACCCGTCACTCCGTCAGTGAGTTCGTCACTCACTTTATTGAAAGGATGAAATAAATTGTAGTTTTTACTAATGTTCTGTGTCTTATTGAAAGAATGAAATCAAAGCAACTTTAAAAGTCTTTCTGTTCTGCATCTTATTTAGCTGTAGAAATTGAAATATATTATATATGTAGTTTAACGACCTATTATACTGTACCATCAAATGAAAAGCAGCTTTTAGTCGTTCTGTTTTACACCTTATTTAACTACGGAAATTAAATTGTAATATTGCGTTGTATTGTCGTTACGGTTACCCTGTGCACAGCTTAGGTAAGCAGCATCCTATTCTATAGTTACAGGCCCGTAGCCACAACGTAATTATTCCGGGGTGGGGGGCAAGTGATATATTCGGAGGGGGAATGAGGGAGTGGGGGTGGTCGATTGCGGGAAGGGGTGAAATATTCAACTAAGATGTCCTGGGGCATCGAACTGTTACTATCACTTTTTCGAGTAAACAAAAACAAACTTTATTTAATAGGCGTATCTGATTCAAGAATGTTAAGGAGAGCCCAGGATATCTTTCATGTTTTGGAACACTCCAGTGCCTTGTAAGAAATTATCCTACCCATGTCCCGAAACGGAGGCACTGTGGCCCCTTTCTTTGCTATGTACAATACATGCAGCTAAGTTGGTGATATACTTACGTATCTCGTAGGCTCAACCGATAGCAAGTTGAAATTTCGTCTGCTAGGCGTTTAGGTGCCAAAGGTTCGAATCTTCCTTTAGATATGAAATATTCTGATGCCACTGCCAGTATTTCCGAGAGTCGCCTTGTGTTTGCTTTCAGCTCCTATCACAATATACTCAAATGCACGTAATGCACTCAATAAATGACTCCTTCGTTACCAGAGAACTATGACGTCACAATTGACAATAGACTCTGTAATGTTTTTCAATCTATCAGGCTTTGTGTTGTTTCATGATTTAACTAGCTATTCGCCCAGTTAGGAAGCATCCTTACTACTTTTTGAAATACAACTAAGACTAAGCTTCGTCTGTAGGTTATATCATATAAAATTAGGCCTATTAGGAATAAAGTGACGACATTGAATTTGATAATGTAAAAAAATTATCGAAGGTCCTTATCACTGCTCTTCCCTAGCGGAATATAATCGGTAATTTGTTACAAGTTGGTAAATGTACAATAACTTGTTATATTAAAGATAAAACTAATAAAAACAACGAAAGTTTGGTCTAATTTTAATTAGACACTGACTCATATACAATCTTCAAATTGATTACTTACAATTTAGTGTGAAGTAGAATATATTATAAAACTATTGGAGAAGAGGACCTCTAGTTTAATGTTAAATAAAACAGAAAAAAATATGTACAAATTTATTAACATTACTATGTAAAAATAAAACAACAAAAACATTTAACTTTACAACACAATGTAGACGATTGGCGAAGGAGCCAAAACAATGACATTTTCCGATTTAAGGAATATAGTGCGATAGCCCGACTTGTCCCTAACCTGTTCGTCAGGCGTGATATATGGTTCCCGGGACAGTGGTTTGAGGATATAATATCGTTGTTGTGATATCCGTACCACGTCTGAGGAACCACTGTGGCGATATTACGTCTGAGGAACCACTGTGACGATACCACGTCTGAGGAAACACCATATTTCAAGCTTTCAACATAACCATAATCGTTTTAAAAAAAAAGCCACTGGCTGAACAAATTCGAATAACGTTGCTCACAAAGGCTAAAATTTGTAAAAAAAAAAATTCTGCAATTTAAAAGCTGCACTAAAATTATCAAAGTACATGTTAAAGATTTCATTAAAATCTAAAATAAAAATTTAACGAAAATAAGAGGTATCTATAACTCATTTAAAAAACTAAAACACAGAAAAATTTAAAAGTGGTTTAATGTGACCACAAAATTATTTCATTATTATTTAAAATATAAAAGTTCACGTAAAGATGAGGTATCTAAAACTCATTAAAAAAAATAATAAAAAAACCCAACAACAAAATACACAGATAGTTTTAAAGTGGTAAACATTGCCACAATATTATTTCATGATTGTTTGTTAATATTCTAAATATAGAATTAACGTAAAGATGATTTATGGGGTTAAAAACAGATAGTAAAAAGGATAAAGGCAACAAAATCCTTGTTTCGTTAATTGTTTTCTATAAAAAAAATCTTCGACGAATTTCCGTCTAACTAAAAAAAAAAAAAGCTTATGAGCATCCTGAAACAGGCTGCCTTTGATCTTTGTGTTGAGATAGAAATAAGTTATTCTCTTAATTGACGACGGAGAATTTTGCCACTGGGTGATTTTGGAATAACATCGATAAATTCGACACCACCCCGTAATCTTTTGTGTTGAGCAACTTTCTCTGAAAAATATAGTGAGGATTAATCAGAAAATTCGGCAGAATGTCCAAAATGTGTTCAGAAATTAATTGAATACAACTTGCGATAATCTAAATCTACCAACAATAATGAAATTGATAGAGAATTGTATTGAAAACTACTTAGTAATAAAACTGAGCGGTCTTCAATATAAAAAATCATATATTTTCCCCCTGCCGAAAAACTGTACGTTTGTATATCTTTGACGTCTCTAGTCTTTTCTATGGCTTTTTAATAGCAAAACTTACCTTCTACAAATTTCAAGATACCATCTTCCTGAACGTCTGTATTTGGTTTCCTGACAATAAAAGCTTTGGGAAGTTCCCCAGTACCAGCATCCTGAACACCGATAACAGCCGCATCTTGGACACTAGGATGAGTCAGCAGAATAGCTTCGAGTTCAGCTGGCGGTACTTGAAATCCTTTATATTTGATCAACTCTTTGAGTCTGTCCTCTATAACCAGGTTCCCCTCCTCACAGAAGTAACCAATATCACCTACAATAAAAATTAAATTAAATGAATGGAGCATTAAGTTCTTGCATTTCTTTACAGCCATTTGATATATCACAATGACAGGCTGCAAATATCTTTGAACAAAAGATAAACAGGCGACTACCAACAGCTGCCTCTGTGTAACACACTGTGCTAGCTAATCGGACACGACAACTCTTGCCCTTACAAACACAGGTGCTTGGGTCGAAAAATGCCCCTTATGACTTGACCCCTCTTTGACGTTACATCCTTACTGTAAGGATCAAGGGGGTCAAGTCGTAAGGGACACTTTTCGACCCCAGCGTCTCCGCTTCCATATTTGAAAGACATGATGTAAGGATCCGTATATCACGTCTGAGGAATTAGGTGGGGTTAGAGAAGCCGACAGGGTGTCTGTATTGTCTCCTAGTCCTAGAGTACTAAAATAGACTGATAACTTACCGGTATGTAGCCAACCATCGCTATCTATCATATCATTTGTAGCCTGTTGATTATTCAGATAACCTTTCATCACTTGAGGACCCTTGATACATATCTCACCTTCTTCACCTGGCCCCAAACTTCTTCCTGTCTCCACATCTTTAACCTAGAACATGACAGGAACGCAATGATTTTAACAGTATTTCCGTTACAGATAGAAACCTTTCTCCCAGCACTCTTGTCGTTTGTAAATCTGGCACAGTTAGTTCCGTGTCATCAGGGAAATCAGAAACGAAAAAGGGGAGGTGGAGGGCAAAGACCAGTGGCATACTAGACTTTTTCAACTGGGGGGGGGGGGGGCAAGAAGGGGCAGTGACTTGAAATGGGGGAAGGGGAGGGGGCGCCTAAGACAATCTGGGTGCCGCGCTGACTGATTTCATTCTTTTCATAGACCAAATAAATTCTTCTTTTTTTTTTATAGTCAAACACAATGCTCCTCTCACCTACATTGGATAGAAATATTAAAATTAGAAATAATAAAATATGTTATATCTACCTTGGCTGTAGAGTTACAGACGACAGGACCATTAGATCCTAATTTAGCAGGTGGATTATCTATAGCTATCACAGGAGATGTTTCTGTTAAACCATAACCTATTGGGGGGGGTAATCAAATCTTCTAATAATTTGGAATATTTGAGGAAAAACGTATTCGGTGCTTTGCTGGTTTCATGGAGGCAGATTCTCATCTTTACAGCAACATCATGTAGTTTGCACAGCGGTGTTTCTATAAATTATGTAGAGGGGCCTAGTTAGGGCCATAGATTTACAGTCAAAAACTGAGGAGGGCAAAGCCATCGGGTCAGTTTTACAAGGACAGCGTCAAAAGACACCATTGTTCGGGTGTAAACAATATGAGATTAGGGTGTTCATTCTTACAACAGGTGTTGAACTTTATCACTAGTCTCAGTGCAGTTCGCGGTTATCCAGTTGATTTCTTACCTTGGTAGATCGGAAGTTCATGTCTTTCTGTGAATTCTTTTGACAGACCAACACCTAGAGGAGCAGCACCACTTACAATATATTTCAAATTTTGTACACATTCTTTAGATACTGAGGGGTGTTTGGCCATAAACAATAGAATTGGTGGAACAGCGTGAAGAATAGATATCTACAATAGAAGTTGATTTAAATTCATTTTCCTACGCCCTGGAGTTATAATAAGTGAAATTGAGGTATTCAATGGACAATGCCACTTTACTTCCCTAGTTGATACATCTCTATCATTCGGCAATTCTTGGCAGTTTCCGTAAAGCCGAATCTGTGTATAGTTCATGTACTCATGGTATTGGGGTTTCATGATTTCCAAGGCAAGAAGTTTGGTCATTTGACGTACCTTTTGTTCTTGTAAAGCTCTAAGGAATACAGGTGGATCAAATTTAGGCAGTGTTATAAGAGGACAACCATTATCTATAGCACCAAACTGTACTGGTATCATTCCATAAATATGATAAAATGGTAAAATTCCTAAAAATCTGTCCACTCCTTGTTTTATGTCTACTGCTAATCTGAAATACAGGAAATTGGTACGTTTTCTAAATGCCATTGTAAAAAGGTTTTCTTAAAAATTCATGTGTATCAGGGACACTGATAGCAACGATTTGCACCTTTCCAATTTTCAATCAGACATAGTGTGGATCTTGCAATTCCACCTACGCTAAGCACTTTATGAAAGCGTTTGAATCTTTATAAAATGACGCCATTTGCTTGGTCGTGGATTCTAATCAAAGTCAGCGTGTGAATACAGAGGTGACATTATTCAAATCGACAGATAATTCGGGAAAGATCAAGGCCAAGTTGTTATCCCCCCGTAAAAAAACGGTTGTTTCTTTTTTTTCTTACTTGACTTGATACAGGTTAGCTATACAATTATGATGTGTTAACATCACTCCTTTCGGTAGCCCTGTGGTACCACTGGAATAGGGTAAAATCAGAATATCGTTTTTAGGATCTATAGAAACATCAGGAAACATGGTACCGTCATCTTTTAGAAGTTCTGACACTGGACGACAACCTTCTGCTTCGCCGAGTATAAAGATTTCCTGAAAATAATTCGAAAGTCAATTAGTAAAATGCAGGCCCGCAGATACAGGAGTGCATGAGGGGCAAAGGTTCACAAGGATCCATCATACCAGTTAGTTCTTTGTCAAACCTTTTGGCATAGATCTTTCCAGATTACGGATTACCTGTTCCCATTCACAGCTGTGTCGATGGAAATTTCACTCAACCATTGTTGAATTGTAGAAGGTCTATTTCTGAAAATAATGTCTGAATGTTTTCAATATGGACAACGTACCTTGACACTTGATGCTAAGGACTGTTTGCTGTTGATGGCTTCTTTTAAATTTGGTAACAGAGGAAGGATGGTAAAGGCTGCCTTGGCTTTGGAATGCTCTAACTGTATTGCTAGTTCTCCTGTGGATAATAAGGCAGTTACATTAAATACAATTATCAAATAATTGTCAGTAGACTCTGTAAGTGACGTCTGTCGCACAGTTGCAAGTTGGCGTCGGGTAGCCTAATCTGGAACGGAATGTATCGCTGTCTGGCTTTTGCCTACCACAGTAATTGATGTGAAGCTCAAAACGCTTTCGGCAGCATCTCTTAGGTTGTATACCAAGGTTGTCTAACCTCAGGGTCCATTTACAGCGGGGATGACTGGAATAAGTCTCACAAAGAAAAGGGAATTTTTGACACTCATATTCTGGACCAGAAAGCCACGTCATGATAGCTGAACTATTATTTTTTACTTCAATCTAATATGGCTGACACTGGCAGCCATCTTGAAATGAACGAAATCATTACCTGGAGTGTATGAAGGATTGGCCGGGGTGACAATAACTCCTATAGAAGATGCTGCTAGCATTATAATAGAATATTCTGGTACATTGGCACTGTAGACTGCTATAACATCACCCTTCTTGTACCCCAGCCTAGTTAGAGCACTGGCTACCTTTATAGCTGCCCCTTTCATTACAGTATAACTATAGTTTCTTCCCGATTCAAAATCTATCTGTTAATTAGAATAACAATATTATACGACTGTGTTTGGCACAATGGTCATTTTCTCCGGTCAAATTATTTTGTCCAAGAGTTCTTAGATGAAAGCACGGGCCGAGGAGAGTGCTTAGGTTGAACCGTCGAATAAATGTACATATTATATTTGCTTTACCAGCCTAAATCGCATAAATGTCACGCTAAGCGATACAAGGTCTTCTACTTACCACAGCTGTATTGTCTTTGAATTCATCACATCTAGAGAAGATGTACTCCGAGAAGGAGACATTGGGTATGTCAGCATTAGCAATGGGACTTCGAACAATGTTCTCTTTAGACCAAACACTCTGTTGTCGAACTTGGTTGTTGATATGTGGAAATCGACATCTTGGATGGTGAGTGATCTGGTTTGAGGATGTTTTACACCAGGTCAACAATCGTTCAGCGGATGATCTCTTCATTTTCTATCGTTCTGGAAAACATTTAACACTCACGTTGAAAAACGGTTGAGTTTTACATCCTAATATACCTTAATGATATATACATGTGATGAAATGATATGAGGCTGAACGTCTTCTCTTGGTACTTACTCCTCCAATTAATTCTACCTCACCCGTCACTCCGTCAGTGAGTTCGTCACTCACTTTATTGAAAGGATGAAATAAATTGTAGTTTTTACTAATGTTCTGTGTCTTATTGAAAGAATGAAATCAAAGCAACTTTAAAAGTCTTTCTGTTCTGCATCTTATTTAGCTGTAGAAATTGAAATATATTATATATGTAGTTTAACGACCTATTATACTGTACCATCAAATGAAAAGCAGCTTTTAGTCGTTCTGTTTTACACCTTATTTAACTACGGAAATTAAATTGTAATATTGCGTTGTATTGTCGTTACGGTTACCCTGTGCACAGCTTAGGTAAGCAGCATCCTATTCTATAGTTACAGGCCCGTAGCCACAACGTAATTATTCCGGGGTGGGGGGCAAGTGATATATTCGGAGGGGGAATGAGGGAGTGGGGGTGGTCGATTGCGGGAAGGGGTGAAATATTCAACTAAGATGTCCTGGGGCATCGAACTGTTACTATCACTTTTTCGAGTAAACAAAAACAAACTTTATTTAATAGGCGTATCTGATTCAAGAATGTTAAGGAGAGCCCAGGATATCTTTCATGTTTTGGAACACTCCAGTGCCTTGTAAGAAATTATCCTACCCATGTCCCGAAACGGAGGCACTGTGGCCCCTTTCTTTGCTATGTACAATACATGCAGCTAAGTTGGTGATATACTTACGTATCTCGTAGGCTCAACCGATAGCGAGTTGAAATTTCGTCTGCTAGGCGTTTAGGTGCGAAAGGTTCGAATCTTCCTTTAGATATGAAATATTCTGATGCCACTGCCAGTACTTCCGAGCGTCGCCTTGTGTTTGCTTTCAGCTCCTATCACATATACTCAAATGCATGTAATGCACTCAATAAATGACTCCTTCGCTACCAGAGAACTATGACGTCACAATTGACAATAGACTCTGTAATGTTTTTCAATCTATCAGGCTTTGTGTTGTTTCATGATTTAACTAGCTATTCGCCCAGTTAGGAAGCATCCTTACTACTTTTTGAAATACAGCTAAGACTAAGCTTCGTCTGTAGGTTATATCATATAAAATTAGGCCTATTAGGAATAAAGTGACGACATTGAATTTGATAATGTAAAAAAATTATCGAAGGTCCTTATCACTGCTCTTCCCTAGCGGAATATAATCGGTAATTTGTTACAAGTTGGTAAATGTACAATAACTTGTTATATTAAAGATAAAACTAATAAAAACAACGAAAGTTTGGTCTAATTTTAATTAGACACTGACTCATATACAATCTTCAAATTGATTACTTACAATTTAGTGTGAAGTAGAATATATTATAAAACTATTGGAGAAGGGGACCTCTAGTTTAAAAGTTTA